CTTCTTCTCTCTCTCTCTCGCTCTCTTTTTCTCATCTGCTTGCTTTGCATTTGTTAGGACTACTTTACCGCCAGCTTGGACGAGGAGAACCGAAACATTGATGACCATGAGAAGGAAATAGAAACGGTTTGTGCCTTTGGTGCTTCATCCCCTCTCCCAAATACCTTCAGGGTGCGAGTTCTTTGCGTCGTATTTATTTGTGCTTTGCTGCAGTACCGCCACCAAACCGCTGAAAGTGTGGCCAAGATTCATGAGCTGCAGACCCAGGCCAAGACCTTTGAGGTGAGGTTACTGTGACGCATGTGCGTTCACCTGTTTGTGGTGTCATCTCATTCTGCCAATGGTGGGGCTAGGTGGGCCGCTGCGAGCTGTGCCCGGAGCGGCTGCGGTTGCCAGCCATCCACTTCCTTTGCGGGCACTCGTATCACCAGGTGCGTGGAGGTAGTGGGGTGGCTTGATTTTGAAAATTTGCGATTTGAGCGAGAGTGGGCACATCAGGCCAAATGTATCGCTCTTGGGCTCACGGATGGACTTTGTGTTTGTGGCAGCGCTGCATTCTCAACGCCGAGGAGTGCACTATTTGCCACGACCGCCATGAGACCAAGCTGCGGCGTATGGAGGGTGCTGAAGTCGACCACGAAAAGGTTGGTGCACACGGTTGAGGAAGCATTGCATTGTAGTGGTTACGTGAGAAATGTGGAACATAGTCTGTTGTTCTCTTCCTCTTGTCTCTTTTCTCATTTCTCTTTTCTCTTTTTCTCTTTTCCATTTTCTCTTTTTCTCTGTTACCTTTTTCTCTTTTCCCTTTTCTCTTTTTCTCTTTTCCCTTTTTCTCTTTTCCCTTTTCTCTCTCTCTCTCCCTCTCTCTTTCACTCACATTGTGACGACTCGACAGTTTTTGCATCGTCTGGACCATTCCAACCATACTCGCCGATTCAGTGCCATTGCCGAATACTTTGGACAAAACCTCTTTCGCACGGTGCGTTTCTCGCGCCCCTTTCGGACTGGCAGAGGAGACGTGGGGTTACTACCAGCTTTGAGAAATACGCGCGAGCTGTGAATTGGGCCGCCCCTGATGTTGGCGCGATTGTCTCTGAACAGGCGCCGGATATTCCAGAGCAGGTGGACCAAGGTGGCTTGGCCCACGAGCAGCAGGAGGGGCGATCGTCATCACCGGGTGTTGCCTTTGGCGCTGGTGTGGGCGGCGATTTCAACC